TTTCTGACATGTTTTAACAATGCCTTCTTCACACACCTGAAAACACATATTGAAGCCACTTTTCAAAAGATACAACGTTGGCGCTGATATAACCTTATTTGTTACATATCTTTATTAGTCCCTGTTCGGACGCAGTCGAAAACAGGGACTTATGTTTTGACCTCCGTGTGTCCGTGCATGTATCTTAGAAATGCCTGGACCAATCACAATCAAACTTCACACATACATCATACATGATATTATACATATGCACATCAATTTGTTTCGTGATCTAATTCAAGACGGCCGAATGGCGGCCATTTTTGTGCTAAAAATCATCAAAATCAAGCATTTTTCAGCTGTTTACAGATGGATTTTGTTCAAACACTGTATATACATTTGACATTATAGGACCTTGATGCACATCATTTTGTTTCACGATCTGATTCAAGATGGCCGAATGGCGGCCATTTATGTACTAAAACATCCTAAAAATCAAGCATTTCTTAGCTGTTTACAGATGGATTTTGTTCAAACTTGGTATATACATTAGACATTATGGGACCTTGATGCAAATAATTTTGTTTTTCAGATAAGATTCAAAATGGCCAAGTGGCGGCCATTTTGTTTTAATGAATGTGGCTCTCATGCCATATCTCTGACTTGCTTTCACTGTTTAAATACTTAGATAGACAGATATATTGGTTTGACTATCCTATTCAAAATGGCCAAATGGTTGCCATTTTTGTGCTAAAAAATTATCAAATATCAAGCATTTCTGGATGGATTTCGTTCAAACTTGGTACATATATTAGACATTACGGGTTCCTGATGCACATCATTTATTTTTCAGATCGGATTCAAAATGGCTGTCTGGCGGCCATTTTGTTTTAATGAATGGGCTTCTAGACCCATATTTCCAACTTGTTTTGACTGATTATGTTCAAATTTTGAATATTCATTATACATCATGTCGTAGATAAACAGATATATTGGTTTGACGATCCTATTCAAAATGGCCGAATGATTGTCATTTTTGTGCAAAAAAAATCATCATATATCAAGCATTTCTGGCATTTATGGATGGATTTCGTTCAAACTTAGTACATACATTAGACGGGTTCCTGATGCACGTAATTTTATTTTTCAGATCAAAATGGCTGACTGACGGCCATTTTGCTTTAATGATTGGGGTTCTAGAGCCATATCTCTTAAATGCTTTGACTGATTATATTCAAATTTTATATATGTGTATGCATCATGTTATATATATACACGTATTCAAAATGGCTGATTTTGAATGCTGTTCCAGAGCAATATCTCTCAATATGGACAAGTACTTGTTTGACGATCAGATACAAATGTCAATCAGTTTAATGTTAAAAAATCATATTCCTGACATGGTTATATTCCAGCTATATTACTATAAACAAAACTATATATCTTAAATTTGATAACTAACGGGGACTGTGCCATGCATGGCTTGTTATATATTGAAACGTGTGGAGATCTCAGCAAATGTCAATAATGCTTGTTTTTTGCAGAGAAAAGACTATTCAGCCCTCACTAAATTCTTGCCACCAAAACATGAATATGTTGTGAGTATTCGTCTGTGTGAAAAGCAGATCCAGCTATACAAGCATTATTTGGAAACTAAAGCTTCCAATCCAAGTGAAGTTGGTGGTTATAAAGGATCTGGTTCTGGTTTGTTTGCTGATTATCAGGTGTTGTTGAGAGTATGGACTCATCCGCATATACTGAGACTTGGGACAATACGTGATCAAAATAGGGTCAGTCAAACTTTATTCATATTTGTGATGAAGACAAATGCACTCTTTTGGCTGCTATGTGTGCAAAGCACAAACTAGGAGTAATGATTCCTATAATCACAGACCTAAAATACAAACTGGGAGTGTATCATCAACAGCGACTTGTTTACTTACTGATTAAGTGTGGTGCTCATGTATTGCTTTTGAAAATATAAGTATATATTTAATCCTGTGTACAAAGCACAAAATGTGGGAGTCTTTGCAGTTGGTCTGTCTGTGTGTGTCTGCCTGCCTGCCTGCCTGCCTG